AAGCAGAGAATAAGTACAGATATTTCGAAACTCATAGGGATGCTTTCATTATAGAGATGATATAATATTTTTTTGAAAGAAAACTTCTATAGTGCTAAGTAATGCTTAAGTAAAAGGATTATATGACAATGCACAATCATGTATTTTATCGAAGAAATCAGTTTTTCAAACTACGCCATCACGGTTTTATAAATAAATTGTGATATAAATAACTTATAATGAATTCGGAATGCGAATTAAATTAATTTGAATTAAAAATTTAAATTTAATCCCCTTTCTACAAGACTATCTATGTTGTGTTTCCGAAAGTAGACGTATATAAAACATACTTGCAATTATGATTGGGATCAAAGTGGTCATTAAGCTTGAAACACAACATATTCCACAAGATATCCGATATCCGTTAGTACTGGTTCCGTTTGAGGTAAATTTCGATGACTAGTTAGCACATAGCTGGTAATAGGTCGACCATAAATTGACGAATGTTTGTTTTAGAATCGTAAAAAAATTGGGGATTATCAGTATAAATATGATTCTTAAACGGTACAGAAAAAGTACGTTGATGAGAAATCGCATAAACGTGGTCGCTAATTGATCATATATTTCTAAAACTTGAAACCATGTTAAGGGAATATTTGTTGCTGAAACAGTACTGGCAACTCAGCACAACTTACTTTATTTTGATCAAGGAACAATATAGAGATATATTGTAAGTACAATGGCGCATGGGAGTTGCAAGACTTTTTTCTACATATTAAGCAAAAAACCAAATTAATATTTTTGATCTAGTAATGAATTTAGTGCAGTAACTGCATTCACATTACTTGAACTACTCGTCAGACTGCATCAGTATTTTGACATATCGTGTATGAACTAATAGAGGCCTAATAGAGTCTTTACAAAAATATCACAACAGACCTCATTTTGATATGGCTATGGAATATGGTTCAGGAAAATAAATTTTAAAATTAAATCATTTCCACAGCATGTTAGGTTCATTCGTTTATAAGCGTACATTAGTGTAAAAATCTAAGCTTTGTTGAGATTTTATTAAATTATTTTCTTTCTAACACTCTCTCATCTTTTTCGAAAATTTTATTTTTCACTGATAATGTACTTATAAAAAAACGAAAATATTTCTGTCTTTGGTATTAAAAGTCATTTCACCTTAATTTATATACAGACCGAAAATTGACAAAGCATGATACAGCATTTACAGATAAAAACAATAAAAATCAGTGAATATTCTTATGTTTCTCTTTTTGTATGGATTAAATCCATACAATCAGCAGAGTAACACCAAAATGACATGTTGAAATCTCTAAAATCCAGTAAGAAAGAAAATATTCTATACTGAATTGAAACTACGGAGACTTGTTTACAGAAACACCCACGGTTATACACAGCATTCGAAAATCGGTATGAAACAATAACGGGACCATAGAAGCTGGAATAGAGAATTCAAAACATACGAGTACAAGTGAAAAGCCTTTATATATTGATTGGAGTTAGGAAACAAGAAACTCATAAATTGGTTTACTAGTACTTTCAATAATCAAATCCATAATACTTTATGCTACACCAAGAAGAACAACAAGTTATTTCCAGTTTTCGACGCGTCAACTGTAGATGAGACTGCTATTTGTTTCAGGGCATCATAGATAATCATAGTTTAATGGAAAGGTTAATAAATATCAGTTATTTAGAAATGCGTCCTGTGATATTAGTAAGCATACATATACTGATGAGGCTTCCCTTTTGTCTGATAAAAAAAGAGGCAACAAAATTTTTAGTTGAGTAATTCCTAATAAGAAATGGAACCAATAATTTTTGGTGCAATATCATCCTCTTAACCTGAGCAATATAAGGCTACTACGAGTATAAAAAGTCTTTGATTTTTATCAAGATATCAGTTTGAGTTTTAAATTATACGAAAAAAAGATAAGGAAAGAAAATTTTTACCTAAAGAGAAGTTTGTTGGATCCGACGCCTTTTTGGTGTTTGGAAATAAAGCTCATTGAATTATTAATGATATCATCTTTTGGTGTTGACAGCAGCATAATACTAATATAACACCTATTTACTTAGTAATCTAATGCAATGACAACTCTAACTCGATTGACTATTGCCAATATGGGCAATTTACATTTTTTTAATAGAACTACATTTCTTTACCCCTCCTTCTTACGCTGCGTAAATTCCTTCCCAAGTTATTCCACTTTTTCACTGCTCATTCGTTAACACGCAAATCGGAAAAGATATAACAAATTGCCTTTTCTTATGGATTAATTTAGACTTCAAGAAGCACTTGCGACCATGGCAGTTTTAGGAGGAACAATAACGACAAAAGCATGCTTTTCCGTTTTATGAATATGCAAGTGTGAAATTACTGAGATACATAGATATCCACATCTGTCCTGGCATATTCCCACTATTAAACACGTAATATATATAGTCATGCCACTTTATGTAGATGTAGATGTGTTTGATAGGAATTCGCTGCAAAATTACATTTTGAACTATAAGGCACTGGGTGTGCGCAGCTATCGATTGCCTTAATGCATTCATTCAGCGGATGGCGTTGATTTCTCTTGAGTAAATCTATAATTCACACTTCACCAGCCGATATAAAAACTGCGAGTACCTTAAAAAAAGAGCGGAAAATCACAATTCAACGCAGGACAATGCAGCAAAAAATCCGAAATTGTGTGAAAATGCAGTCGAATTTGAATTTGAACCGTTGATGGAGAAAAACTTGAGGAAAATCGAAGTTTGTGTAGTGAATGCAAAGAAAAATTTTAAGCATTCACTGTGTGAAAACCAAGGATGAAGGAATTTATTGGCATAATCGTTTGTCAGATTGACAATATTAGAATTAAATTTTTTTCCCTTCCAAAGTGAAATTCGTAGATTTTTCAACAAAAAAAGCAACAAAAAACGGAAGTGACATTTGTTCAATGGCACTCCCTCTCTGTACCTTAAAAGGAGGATGGGCGTATTGGGTGAAAAGAATAAGACGATATGATGAAATTTAATAAAATTGACATATTTTGAAAATGTGTTTTAGGTTTGTCGGAAATATTAAAAAAATTAACATTCCAAGTAGGACCAATAGAATAAAAATTTACTTGGAATGGTCGCTTGATTGCAAGCTGCGAATAAACAGCTGCTAGGAGTAAAATTAAGGGATTTTGATAGTTTTTGAGAAATTGATAGAAGTAAAATTCGGTTATTGGAATTATTTTAATTCTATTGAATTATTAATGTGAATAAAATTAAATCTCAGATGGTCCCTTTTTATTTTCTGATGGTGTTAAATAATTAGCAAAATAAGTTTGAAAATAAAAATTGCAATTTTTTATTGTCCGTTAAATAATATTATAATATAAATATCAAGGTTTAATTCCCAACACTTGCAATCCAAAAATTATACATGCGTATATGACAACTAAACCAATATATATTTTCAAGAACCACTGATGATAACTTCAGGTGACTTGTATTCTGCAAATATATTTGAGGAAAATCTACATATTGTCAAACTCTACGGTCACTTTCTGTGAGGCGGAGTCGGAGACAACACTTCTTCAATCTCCAATTTAATTTTCTAATTAAGAGTTTTATATCTAATGACGAGAAATCTATTTGGTGATATTCGAAACAGATGGATGGCTAGCTCAAAGCTTCATTTGATTAGAAAATACTTTGGATCTGAAAATTTTCTTAGTGGATATAAATCTTTTAATTAGAATTTGAGATAAATTTCCTGAAATACATTTGCAGAATGTAAGTGACCACATTTATTCAAATATGTTTGTTGAATGTGCGTGACCTAAGATTTATCAAAGCACGGCAAGATCAAAGTAATATATAATAAATTGCAAAGAAGGATGTTTGGTGACACTGATTCGATTTTTCATAATTTTCAATATAAAAAAGGGGATACATTTTCTACTTAAAATGAATTTCTTGTCACAGAGCACAAAAATCTTAATTACAATATAAAGTACAAAGTGAAATTTCACTTACTAGACACTGACTAGGCTGGCTAACGTTTTGAACTATTACTACTTTTTTCAGTAGCTCAACTATAAGGGTGGACTTTGGTGTTGCCACACTGTCACATTTTAATAATAATAAGAGCATTTCTTTCCTGTATTTTATGGAGCTTGTACATTTGTTGATTGATGATAAAACTGACATTAAGAGACAGTTTTAGCTGTTCTTGTCTTGCTGTTTCCTGTATTTTTCATTTTCCATTTCCAATTATTGAACTTCGAAGTCGGATAACTGAAGAATAAGGCTAGATTTTACAGGCCCAAATATAGAAATTTACTTTGATAGTTGCGGTTTAAATAAAAATAATGATAGAATGTTAATTCGATAATAATTTTGCTTGTCGTAGACCAAATTATGGGAGGTTCTGGTAGGTCGACAGCGCCCAAAATACGGACATGAAAAACAAAGCTTATCTCAAAAACCATACGCAAAAAAAATTTTGGAAAAATTTTGTTTTAATATCATAACTGGTTTTAAAAATTTCAAATTTCGATCATTTAATTTTGATTCTTCCACTCTGTGATACGTCTAGGAAACTTTAATCTGCATATAAAAAACGTTGAATCCATGAATTAAATTAATTTTATAAGGCAACTGTAAATAATTGAAACTTTCAAAGAAATGAAAATTGAAACTCTCATGACACAAAACTTGAAACTTTTTAAAATTTTTAAAAATTCAATTTCAAAGAAATGTTATAATAAATCTAGAGGAACTATAAAATACATAAATATTGTATTATTTACTATGAGTATTCCTCATATGGAACAGACTATACCGGTATTGTGAATGGGAAATAAGTACACATCCGCTCTTCATCTGCACACCGGTTTTGATTTCTTTATATTTATCGATGGCTTTCTTTCCATGAAATACTTTTTAATAGACAAGTATTGTTGTCTCCGTAAACGTATAAACTAATAATAAAGGAATAAACTTACTTTGATGATGGTCCCTCCCCGTTGAATGGTCCTGCGAGTTCCATAAGCTCGATGTAGCGCCAACAAATACATTATTCAGTGATGATGGCGGAATTTCCGCTTTTGACTTTGTACGATGCACTTTATTGTTAAAACGTTGTTCTATAAAAACACAATAAATAAAAAAGTTAGATAAAAATATTTACAAAATATAAAAACTCACACGGAAAATAAGAAAACAGCAGAAATTTTATAATAGAAATGAAATAAAGTTTATTGAATAAACAGAAAAAATACAAGAATCCAAAAATATAAAAAAAAATAAAAAAATTGGTGTTAAAAAAAACATGCGAAGGGCTCGAAATTATACAAAAATGGAAAAGATGAATAAATTTTATTCCGAACACTGGGAATTGAATGGTACAAAAAGTTACCTTTGTTGTATTTGACAATGACCATTGGCACCGTGTTCAGGGCGACCGTGGGTGCAACTGTTGTGACGGTCGTTGTTTGTGGTATATCTGGAAATACAGCAAAAAAATCATACTTCAGAAAAAAATGCAAACGAACTTTAATCGAATGCAAGCACAAATGCTCTGCTTTTAACGAGAAATTGAAAAAATTCAAAGAGAATATGGAAGCCGAAAAGAGTTTCAGTGTTTTGGATGATTTTGACTAGGAATTCAAGGAATAAATTGACAGGCATATGTGTGTGTCTGTGGAGTCCTTTCGCCATCAGTCCTCTTCTTATACTCGAGACCGTTTAAAATTCAAGAGCAGAATACAGTTTAACAGAAGCAAACAGTTTAAAAACAAAGTAATGATATTTATAAGAAGCCTCAATCGTCCAGGAACTATTTTTACTACTTTTACTACTTCTATGGTGTGTCATAAGAAGAGCACTATATAATTTCATATAAAGTACAATATATTTGCAGAGATTCTTTATAAAATTGCATTCAAAAAAGTAAGTAAAAGATATGCATAACAGATCTCTAAAAAAGTCTCTCAAAAGTTAAATTTCAATTCGTTGAACTTGTGTTTCCAAATAGAGCTGTAGTTTATAAGCTCGTTCTAATTTAAAGCGCGGCAAATGCTTTGGTTAGTGTTGCTAATTAAATAACAAAAAAAAGTTATATAAAACCTGGAACTTGAGAACTGAAAGTTTGTGCAGCCTTGGCTACTTGTGAATAAACACGATTAGTTATCGCTTCTAATTTGACAGGCACGAGTTCTAGCCCTGGCACTTGCAGTCCAAACAAATTATAATCGGACTATAAACTAATTTAAAAAAAATATTCGATTATTTCCTAACACCACTGATGATGAGTAATTGGTCAGCCAAATTTCAATAAATTAAAATAAATTTTTGTCCTTGTCCTTTCTTTGCTATTCGAATCCGTCTAGACAGTATCTTTTCGTCATAAACACGCACCACTATCGGCAGGAAAGAAATTAGCATTGCAATATATTTCGTTTGAAGTCACATTTTGTCAAACAAATGTTATGGGACATGTTATGGATGACTTTTGAAAAACTTTCAAAATGTGTACAGCACCAGGTGTTGCAGACCAAAGCCAATTGATTTTATTTCCATTAATATCATAAGAAAATTGCACTCTATTTCCAGCAAAAACTTTATCGATAAACTCGGCGAACCATTCAAACGATACGAATACTTAGGAATTCTCACGTGAATTTCGGTATGATGAGTTAATAACACCATATCCATTCCAAAAAAGGTAACTAATTAAAGACCTATATCACCCTGAAATTGGAATAAAACCAATTTCAATTGATAAATGAAATCAGAATTAGTTAAAATAATAAGGATGATATTTTGAACGCTGTAGTAGTTACCGGTTTCATGACATGGCACCTCACAGGCAGACAGCACATGACTACTGTGGGTTTCATCTCTGCTCTGGCATGACAATCCACTTTTAAGGATATCAGCTACACAGACGAAATCTCGTATGTTATTATAAAAATTAGATTACGTTTGTTGGGTTATGATATTCTGAATATTAGGAATGCTTTTTACCTCACTCTAATTTGATTCCAGATAATTATTTTCACGTGTTTGCCTAAATAGACAGCCATCTGAATTAAGTGAAGCAAAGAATACTTTTGAACACTAACACAACACAATGGAGTTTACTTTAATTGTAACATAACATATTGTAATTCCAATAACAATGTTATTTGGAAAGTGTGAATATCACACAGAGAAAGAGAAGAAAACTGACCCAATTAAAAATTAAAAAAAACAAAAGTTCAAGAAAAGAACTCCTTAAAAACAGTGAAGAAAAATCTAAAAATCCCTAAAACCTACCAGGCAAATGCACAGAACTCGAAGCAGTAGTAAAATCGATCTGGTTTTGTGCGCTATATGTTTGTCTAGTGATAGATATGATGATTTAGTATAACATGTCCTTACGAATAGAATAACATAAGTTTTGATATAGATTTGAAAGCGCATTGGAAACACACTTCTATAACAAAAGCCCTGTGAATAACCTCCTCCAGAGTCGTTTTCCAAAAGCAATTTTCTAAGGTTTCTTATCAGTATGTTTCCTAGTTAAATGGTTTTCTATGTGGTAACGAGGATAATTAAAATGAACACCACAATTTGTTCTATTTTATAAATTGAATCAGTTCAATGACTACCTATATAAGAAACCTGCTCTATGCGGTATCAGTATATAAAACTTGTACAACCCTTTAAATGCAGTTCATCGCTCAGATGGCAAAGCGTTTTTTATTTTGTATATATAATTGCCTTTATAATGACAACTAATAACAACTAATTTAGAATATAGCTCTATAGATCGACCCGAATTACTTCAAATATTGTGAAATAGATGTGTTGTATTTTTCTTTCAGGTGCATTTTAGGAAAATTATAACATGACTTGAAGTGTTACCCATTTTTAAAACACATTCGTGGGTTCTTGAAAGATACAGAGCTACATTTAAATTTTCTTCTAACAGATTAATTTTTATTTTGATTAGAGGGTCTGAAAATGGTTTTAACTTATAACTATATTTCACATTGTAAATACGTTCTGTATGGCCCAAAAATAAAAGACGACTAATGGGCAAAAAAGAAGCTCTATGCAATGCGAGATTAGTGTTGGTAATATTGATAGATATGTTATGATTGCAGTATTATTTAGTTTAAAGTTTAAATTTTTTACAATGCTTAATACTGAAAAGACTATATACCTCTTGATTATATATATAATACAATCATTTATATATTAAAATTGGCTTACATTTCTATAACCTGTAACGAGTAATCATCTATTAAAAATAATTTGTAAGACAATAGTTCCAGTTTATAGATGGTATTGATTGAGTATGTATATTGATTGATTTTGGTGGTACTATACTATAGCTTGAACACAATACATTATAGATATTAATCAGAAGAATCCTTCATATTTAGTTTATAATGACATTTTATAAGGACTCTAATTTTGTGAATACTAGGTTTCTATATAAATATATATCAATAATTGTCAAAACTCTAAATTTGGATAACACACATGAGTTTTTGGTACAAAATTTTGCAAGGTCCAATTTTTCACACTTGCAGTTCAAAAACTATGTATAACCATTAGAAGGTACCAAACAGCACCGATAGTGAACATTAGGCATTGTCCAATACACTTATATAGTCAGCCCAAAAGGTCACTTCCTTAAAAATCAAATTTTTGGATTTAAAAATTTCCGTATAATTATCATCCTTTCGACTAGAAATGAAGTTCTTGTCATCGGGAAAAATTAATTACAATGAGTAAATTACTTGAAATCAACACCTTAAGAGACGTTCACTGACTTCCTTCTATGTAGGTTTTAAATTTCAGCTAACTTTCAGTGGATTTCATCCGCAATTCCAAAGTTTTTAATTCTGGATTAAATAGTACGTATTCCAACTATTTTGAATTTGTCCGAACACTCGTGGCGATATGAGATACATATTAATGAGTGTAAATATTTGCTGGAAACCTTAACTGCATAAAACTTTTTTCTTAAGAATAGTGAATTTTTCGGACTTCAATTTAGAAATACTTCAAGAAATACAAGAAATGCATGGGCTAGTAGGTACAGGCTTATACCAGTTTTAGTACTGCTTAGATGTGGGGAGCTTATGAAGGTATAATTCAGTCTTTATTTGCTACGGCAAATTTTTCAAACAGTAAAGGACCATTCGAACAGCGTTCCCACTAAACTAGCTCGATTGTGTACTTATTATTATTAACTTAATACTATAGCATTGTTACAAACCTAGATTTGGCTTGTAGAATAAGATTTATTTCTTATTTCGATAAATACTGTCTAAAGTCAATCGATATGTACACACATGTGTATTCGTGTACCTATTGGAGTGCTAATGAAGCCCTGAGATATTGCTCCGACAAGCGGTTAGTGGACTATGCAGGAGTTGCTATGATGGATAGAAGATGAAATTCATCTGAACATTCGTATAGCATGCGGAGTTATACGAGTAATGGAATCAACGGTTAGTCTAATGCACCTTCCTTTGACAGCTTAAAAAGCATTACAATGAGTAATAGATTTTTTTTTATTGATTCTTCTTGACTTTATGTGGAAGACCGAATTGTTTATAAGGCAAGGTATACGGAGGTATAATGGACACAAAGGCCATATACATTATTCGCAATGTTCGAAAAGTGCATTGGGTAATGTTTGAGAAGTAACCTATTATTTCTTCATTACGGAGGTTACTTGATTTTTGTAATTGCATCACAAAGGCTTCGAATATTAATGTCACTTTTATTTTTCGAAGCAACAAATCTGCTGGACCGACTTATAATGCCTTTTCCATGTTGCGCAGGACTTGAATTTAATATGAAATTAATTGCATTCTTCTTCTTGTACTGTTACATCAACTGCTGCTGATTAAGCAGTGCTTTACATCTTTTGTTTAAAATTTTATTATAATTTCATTTTAATTATTATTGCCAACAAATTCGAATAAATTGTGCAAGCTGTAGACTGCAGAGCATATTTCCAGGGTACTTGCAGTAGAAGTGCTGCTGTGCCCCTTTTCCGCTCGGCCGCTGTACTCCGTGTTGCTGCCTGGCTGCCTGGCTGGTATTGTTGGTGCTGTTATTGTAGCCAAACTGTTTCAATTACAATTAGTGCCACATTAATTATGCAATATCTACTTTCAGTTGCACAAAATTTACTGCACAGTGTGGGCAGTTGGTCGTGCAGCTGAAATGGCACCAGGTTCCAGACGAACACGGAATGCCATCGAGTCAAACGGCATTAACTTCGGAGACTGAGCGCATGCCAATGGTGACTGCAAATGTATAAATTATATTTTAACAAATGCTAGCCAAGCTCATACTTGAGTTCAGACTCGAACTTCAGTCCATGTGCCACTTTCTCTATTTTCCTCGATTGGCGCACTGCTTTGGCTTTTTTCTCATTGAAGTCATGTTTTTCGTTTTGGCAGACTTAAAGCAAGCAACTTGTGGCACAAACCAACGTGCAGTAAATTTTCTCTTAATAATTAAATAGAACATTTGGACTGAATTAGTGCGTTACCATTTGTGCTAAAATAAATCAATCACAGACAACCAAGCCGTCCTGCACTACTCCACTCAGTTTCGCAGTCATTTAGTCAGTCAGTTAGCCAGTTAGTCTGTTGGTGGGTGAGTAACTCGGTTGGTTGGCTTGTTCAATGGTCAATTCGTTTGTTTCGCATGAGTGGCTAAGCCCGCACTAAACATTTAACCATTATTCAAACCTTTGCATACGTTTCCCCCCACACATGACCCTCGTCGATTCAATACAAGTTCTTCCTTCGGGTGCTGCGATACGCTATCTTTTTGGTCGTTTGGTCGTAAGTGGCATGTGTTGTATTGTGCTTTCCCTTTTCGATTTAGTAGTAATTAAATATCCTTTATGTATACTTACGATAAAGTTTAATTGCTCCGTCTGTGTCCCCAAGTGAATTCTTTGCCACACAGCGGTATGAACCGAAATCATGTATGTCAACATCGTTTATGGTCAATCGCATTGTAATTTTATAGCCGTTCTCATAGTTCTCCGGCACAAATCGTTCACCTGCAATAAAAAGCAAAGAATTTGTATTTTTTATAAGTAAAGACAACAGAGACAAACAAGGATTAAATATAAATTGGAACATTTAAATAATGAAAAGGTTTAAAGGAGCGTAAATTAAAATGACTTTTTAAACGATTGTTAATAAAATTAGTTTAATCTATATCTTATTTTCAGATGAAATAATTAAAATACTGAAACCAGGTATTTTGCAGATTGTCTACAATTATATTTAAATTATAATATTCCATAATGAAACACTTCGAATTGTCATATTTATATTAATTACTGATTTAAGGAGCAGTAAAGTCTTGGAAAGTATAGTCGTCTGAAATAGCCAGTAAATAAGATTGACAAAAACGTTGCTCATCTGTTATTTAAATGAGAAGATTACACATAAAAACTTCTTAGCCATGCAAACGAAGTAATTAATAAAGACTATGAGAAGCAGATTGGGTGAAATAAACATTAAAACTGCGAATATTATGTGCACCTGTAATGAAGGAAATTAAGGTCAAGTAGTGAAAGGAGTTGAAAGGACTGTTGGGAACGTTAGCATCAAAAAAGTAAGGAATTTGCAGTTAGGATATATTGCAGATATAAAGAAATAATTTTTTATTTGTGCCTTGCATTGTCATGAACGCACTTTAAATTTGAAAGACACCTCAACAATAACGTCCTCCATAATGCCTACTACTGACCATATTTAAGGTTAGTTCCATTTGGTATTACTTAGAATCAATAAGTCTAAGCGCACTTGGATTTCATTCGGTTTAAAGTGTTGCTGTGAATATCAAAACTAACACAGAGATAACTACTGCTCAGTGTGTTGCCCTTAGTGTTGCTAGAAGCAGACGATTTGCAGTAACCATTATTTCCATTTAATTTTCCAAAAGAAAATCACTGCCTAGTCAGTGAAGATATGATTTCCTAAGCATCAAAATTACTTTGGGTGAATTCGTGGCCTGAGTTATAGAAAGTGATTGCTAGATTCTATACTCCTGCATAGCCCACTTGTTGAAAACCGTCAACATTAAATTATTTATAAAATAGTCCAATATTCAGTGAGCATACGAGCTAAAAATCTGCTGATATTCATAACATCTTTCGTTTTTCTCTTATCTAATTTAAATCGCAGAATCTAAGCAACCTCATCGTTTTCGCTATTGATCCATATATTATTCGAAGCCCCAGTGGTGAACGTGTCTATATTCCTAAAGTGTTGACACATTAGTGTTTGATTGAGATGTTGTGTTTGTTTTGGTCCATTTCAGATCCTTATTCGGTAACCACAGTTGCTAGTTCGTTTCCTTCGAATGTCCCAGAACCCAAACAAAAAGAGACTCACTGATGCTTATAAGTGAGGCAAAATCACCGCTAGATTATCGTCTATGTAGACAACGATTTTGTAATATCGAATCGCACTAACTCGAATTAGCCGGGGATGACCAACCTATTTTAATGCAATCTCTAGCAATTAAATTTGGTTGTAACATCATATATGACGATAGTGATGTAAGGTGTAATAGTTTCCATTATGACTTATTGTTTTGATTATTTTCTGCTACTAGCAAAATTTGTTGGAGCTGTTGTAACTATTTCTTTTGTTTATCTGCTTAAACAAATTCAAGAAAAAATATTGTGAAAAAATATTGGGGATCAAGGTATATGCATGCGTCTCAAAAAGCCTCTCCACACAAATGTCATCCTCAACCTTCTCGAGGTGATCCCTGTTTTAAAGATATGCGGCAATGGCAATCAAATGTTCAGCGGTATAACTGTTCCACAACATCTAGTTATTGAGGGAAATACCAATTGCCACATGTAGACTGGAATTGAAGTTCGCTGGAATGGAAGCGGCGAAATTTGTAATAATAGTAGAGGCAAGTTTCTTTTCTCTGGAATGCCTGGTGAAAACGACTCGCACATTAGAAGTGAGGGAATTTATTTAAACAAAGCTATTAAATTAAGAAGTATTAGGGCATGCCAGACCCGAAAGAATGGAATGGTTATCTCAAGAATTTTGGGATCTTATCCCAAAATAGATATATAGATGTAGAGAATCTGTGTTAAAACAAGATTATTAAGTGCAACAAGGAAAATCCATAAAGTGAAGTTACAAAACGAATACAGACGGCTCTCGAAGCAAATAAAACGTCAGGCAAAACGTGACAAGTTGCCTCAGAGAAAGGAGATCTTAAAGAGGTGTAAAAGATAAGTCGTGATATAGTCGGTAAGAATGATTTCGGTACAGTACCTGTGGAAAATGAAAACGGATGCATTGTAACTAATGTTGACGAACAAATGGTAGTGTGAAAAAGATACTTCGAAAGGGCATTTAATATAATACATGACGAAATAAAGCAGTAAACAGTTACAAGAGGTTAGACGACGCAACCCTAATAGATCCATAGAATGCAGACCACTCTGAATAGTTACATGCCTTGTTTGTTGAGGAATGGAACACGGAATGTATTCCAAAATATGGAAAGAAGCTATCAAAAAGATACTTCGAACGGGCATTTAATATAATACATGACGAAATAAAGCAGTAAACAGCTAGATATGGTAGACACAGATCAATGTCGAATCAACTGAGGAATAAGAAATAAATTATCCAATTTAGAATATGCCGATGATGCGATTTTTATTACAGATCTTCAACTAAGTGTGCAACAGTGGGGCTTAACATTAATATTGCTAACACAAAATTCATGCGCATTAACACATCTAACACCTCTCAACTCACAATAAGTAATACGATCGTGGAAAATGTCGAAGAGTTTGAATACTTTGCAGCATTATAACAACAGAAGGTGGTACTTCAGAAGACGTAACAAATAGACTTCGGAAAGCCAGATATGCCTTCGCTAATCTCAAAAACATTTGGTATTAAACAAACTTACATTTTAAAATTAAAACTACGATATTCGATGCCTGAAGTGTACTCTTATATGGATCTAAATCGTGGTTTATTATGGCTTCGATCCCCCAAAAACTTCGGACATACGTTAACAGATGCCTTCGGTTGATCATGAACACTTGGTGGCCGAGAACCATAAGTAATAAGCGGCTATGGAAAATCACAATTCAGCAGCCGATTGAAAGCAGATAAAGAAGCGAAAATATGACAACGGAAAGGGATCTTTGCCTGGCTTTAGCTGACAAGGTGGGATTTGACTGAATTTTAGTAACTTTAGTAACTTTTATCTTAACTCTTACGATGCTATTCAGAGCGTGTACTACCCTCCACGTTTGTTCCAACAATACTTCATAGTTATAATATAGTCATATAAAGTTGATATTTTTTGTATTTAACAATTTTGTCGTCTTCAATCTCCAGAGCAAGTTTCTGCGATTCAAAAGTGCAGGAACTGTATTATTGGTGAAAATAACAGTCCCTATCATTTGTTTTCAAATTGCCTCGGTGCTATTGGAAGAGTAAATTGCATAATGTGATCTATAAAGTTGAATTGCGCTACGTTGCTTCTCAATGTTATTTGCAACAATCGGTATTGAAATAAGATCTGTCACTCAAGCTTCCAGGTTTGCGAATTAATGGAATGTTGTTTAATAACTATGGGTATATCCATTTTGCCCTCGGTATCCTGCAAATTTTACACGCTTCTTTTGTTTAAGGTAGAATGATTCAAGCTGCTCTTAACAATTCAGTTACTTTGAAAGCTTATTGGCAAAGCCGTTGGAAAAATAGACTGATATACAGGGTTAAACGCTTGAAGTGTTATGTTACCTATTAAATTATGAAGTTATTTATTAAAAATTTCGGAATTCATTCACTCTAGCTCGATGTGGTCGCCTTTTGCTTTGACTATGACCTTCAAATGGTTTAAAAATGAGTTGCATACTTCGCGAATGTGCTGTTTAGGTATTTTGGCCCATTCCTGAACAATGGCTCTCTTCAGCGAATCCATACTGGCATATTTTTTAGTCGTCTTCTTGCTCTCCAAAATAGCGAATTTAAAAGCCATTGCGTGGATGAAATTAAGTGCGGTACATGATTTTTTAAACATTCTTGGCTCACACGAGCTTTATGAGACCGAGGCCGGTGCTGAGTCTTGTCTATAACCGAAATTTTTGCAACTTTTGAAACATTTTTTCGATAATAAATCGCATTGACTGTGACACCAGACTCGATGAAAACAATTGGAGAGCATCCATCGGTGATCACAGCTGCCCATACCATTACTTGAGATGGAAAACTACTTCGGCTGGCCATTCGTAGTAATGCGTTCAGTTATGTTAATACGATCATTTCAAGAAATGGGGATACTTTTCCACATTTTTCAGAGTACACAATGTTTGAAAATTCGCCATGTCCGTGCAAGCGTAACAACTCCTTTGATCTTTCGAGTCTATCTTTTTGTTGCTTTGGTGTAAGATCTTGTGCCTTTTAGAACTTGTAAGGCTTTACCTCCAACCCATTTTGGAATATGCTTTGTATGCTTTGTTGGGATATTTTCAGTTCTTTGTCCATTATCACTACGATTATCACTACGACGTGGATTTCGCTTAATTCGAGTCTTCACTTTCCGAACCATTTTAGTTGAAGTTGCTGTTCCTTTTCGTCCATCACCATACTATTGTAATGATTAATGCTACAATACACAAACATTTTATTCAGTTTGAGGTGTTTGAGCTCGCGAACAATAGGTGGCGATATCAGATTGACATATATACCTGTGTGTAGTTAGTAACACTTCAATCGCCTAACCCGGTACTTATATCACTGAAACGTAAATTTTCAAACACTCACGATTTTACACTTTCAGATCAAGAATTGGCGATCGCGACCAATCTTATAGGAACCTCAAGTAAATTATATTATTCAGAATATTTTGTCATTCTATTTCCACTTTTCTGGGTTCCCTTTTTCAATGCGAATACATCATGCAAAACTGAAGAGACAACTTCCCAGGAAAAACATTATTCTTTAATGCAAATTCCAAGTATTTTTAAGTATTTTTTGTATTTTTTGTTTTTTT